AACTTGAATTTAAGAGCAAAAATGTATTTTTCTCAAAATTCTACCCTTCATTTTGGTGAGTTGTCTTGTCGGCTGTTCAAGTTGTCCAAGTTGTCCAAATAATTGCAGATTCCCACGGTTCCTCTTGCAGCTTTAGTTAGGCTTTTTAAAACCGCTGGCCGCGAATGGGGTTTCAATGGACCTCCCAATCCATTCATTGGATCAGTATTCTTGCTAGCACAACACTTTGTGTCCACTCTTTTTCGGCGTTCATCTTTCTTGCTGGTATATCGCCGAGTGTCAGACTTTAATATCATTTATAATAGCCAAAGTCTACCGCTAATAAATATTGTCATTTTTTTTGCTTTCTATTTCAAGTTTGGTTCAGGATTTTTAAAACTTAGTCAGAGATTTCCACACCCTTCTGAAAAGATATTTCGTCCTCTCCCCCAACGGATATGGGGTCTCATATGTACGGTCTTTCTTCAACCGATGTGGCGGAGCCCATCTCCCCTACCTCTTCCAAGTTGAGCCTTTATAAGGATTAAAATATGGATTTGGTCATTAGATTGAAGGACTTAGGCATTGGCTTGAGTTTGGAATCAAGAGGTAAATTTGAACACTCAAACCCCATTTGTTTTTTATGAAACTATTCTTGGAACGAAACTTCAACGAATCCTCATCACTCTCTTCTGAGCTCCATCCATGGCTGCTCCGCTCCTTATATATATATACAGCCAAATATATACATATATATCTACAAGCAACTCATCGGAGAAGAAAAGAGATAAGCTTCATTAATGGCCGCAGACAATGGAAGTAAGAGGCTTTACGAAGCCGCCATTGAAGGCAACGTAACAACGTTGTTAGAGCTGCTCCGACAGGATCCTATGTTGCTGGCCAGAGTTAACCTCAACGACTTCAACGAGACGCCTCTACACGTGGCGGCTCTTCTTGGACACGTCAGATTTGCGGATGAGATTCTGAAGCGAAGGCCTCAGCTGGCTAAGGAGTTGGATTCCCGCCGTTTTTCCGCCCTCCACTTGGCCGCCGCCGAAGGGTTTGTGGAAATTGTGAAACTTCTGCTGCGAGTTGATGCTGATATGTGCTTTGTCTGCAACCAAGATGGCCGGAACGCTATCCACCTCGCCGCCGTTAGAGGCCGGCTTGATGTCTTGGCTGAGCTCGTCCGTGTCCGACCGGCTGCTGCTCGGATGGCGGTGGACGGCGGCGGAACGGTGTTGCATTTGTGTGTGAAGTATAACCAGGTGGAAGCGCTGAAGAAGCTGATTGAAACTGTGGCTGTGGATGATAGTCACTTTGTTAATGCTCAGGATGATTATGGCTTCACTATCCTCCATCTTGCCGTCTCCATGAAACAACTTCAGGTAATTAATTAGTATTTCTCGTCCTCGTCACCTATTTCATTCTCAATTTTCACAACCTATATTGTTATCTTTGGGTTTTCCCTCTCACGCTTACGTTTTTAAAATGCGTATGCTAGGAAGAAGTTTCCACACCCTTATAGAGAGTGTTTCCTTCTCCTCCACAACCGACATGATCCTCCTTTGAGACCCAGCTTCCTCTACCACTCGTTCCCTTCTTCAATCAATGTGGAACCCCCAATCCACCCTATTCGGGACCAACGTCCTTGTGTTCCATTTAATTATAATGTAAAAAATGTTTTTCACTCCCTCCTCCGTTCTCTTTCTAAATCTAAATAGGTAATCTTCCTTAAGTTTGAAATTAGTCCTGCCCGGGTAAAGTGTTTCCTTCTCCTCTCCAATCGATGTGAGGTCCCCTTCGAGTCCAGCGTCATCGCTGACACTCGTTCCCTTCTCCAATCGATGTGGGACCCCTCAATCCACCTCCTTCAAGCTCAGCGTCCTTGTGTCCCAATTATTTATCAGGTAAAAAAAATGTTTTCCACTCACTCCCCCATTTTCAGTCTAAATCTAAATGGAGAATCCCTATCCGTTCGAAACTGGTCCTGCTCATGAGTAACATGGACCTTTCTAGTCCCACGGATCAAATAGACATCTCTAACTATCTTTGTGGTCTCGAAAAATTACGAGCCGACACAAACTCAAACTAGTTTATCTGGTTCTGTAATTGCAGGCTGTGGAGTATCTAATCAACCATACAAGAATCAAAGTAAATGCCAAAACCTCAAATGGGTTAACAGCTCTGGACATTCTAACTCAAAGCCATAGAGATCTAAAGGACATGGACATCGCAGAGACTCTCACAGCTGCCAATGCCATCCGAACCACACCAAAGAAGCCGTCGTCGTTGTCGCGGTCGTCTTCTTCACCTTCTTCCTGTGTCAGCAAAACGGAAAAGACTCAATCTTGGAAATGGCTTCTCTCCGCCGTCTTCCACAACGGAGATTGGTGGTTCTTTAACCAGAAAAGCGAGTGGCTGAGGAAGCAAGATTCACTAATGGTGGTGGCATCACTAATAGCGACAATGGCTTTTCAAGCCGGAGTCAACCCTCCAGGTGGCATTTGGCAAGACGACAAAGCCTCAGGGAACCCATATCAGCCGGCCGGAACGTCGATATTCGCCGGAAAACACCTACGAACCTATAATAAGTTTCTGGTGTTTAACACAGTGGGATTCATGACTTCCCTAATTGCAATTCTGATGATAATCACTGGGTTGCCGGAGAAACGCATTTTCATGAGGGTTTTGATCGTTACGATGTGGATTGCAGTGAGCTCCATGGCTTATACTTATGGATACTCCATTAGGTTCTTCACTCCACGAGCACCAAAACTCTCAGGCTCCGGTACTCCGTCGGGAGCCGACTCCGTCATCTTTTTGATTGCCATTTTGGTGGCCATAGTGGCAACTTCTTCAATCGGTCTGTTCTTGATTGGGAAGCTTTTCTACGTTCATTCTCGACAGAATAAGTCTACTAAGCACCCAGTCCCATCCGAACAGATTTAATGGCTGCATCACCCAATTATAACTCTTTCAAGTTCTATACATTTTGGTTTCAAAATTGGCCGGAATGTTCTTGTTTCTAGTTTTTCGATTCTTGTTTGTAGTCTTATATGTATTTGGTAATTGCCCTTTTCTTCTTTTTTTGGATTCAGATACGTAAAAATAGTTTTCGAACAAATAGTACTCGTTTTCTTTGCAACCTTACATGTACCATCTGCTCTGGAGGATCGTTACTCTGTTGGGTATTAAATTTTTATCCATACATCGACATCTTGATTCATGTTTTCACATGTTCATAGCTTAACATTGTGATTCTTAGAAAGTCTAGTGCCCAACTTGTAAACGAGAAATTGTTGCATGTAGTTGATAATTTTAGATCATTCTACGGACAAAGAAAGAAATTTGGGAAGGATTGAATAATGACTTTATTGAGGTGGGTAGTGCATGAATGTATGGGATGTAGGTCAATTATTAGAGCCAAGTGGTTCATTTTTTAATTGGATGGTTTTGAAAATTGATTGGTCAAAGCAGTTTGGCATTCACCAAAATTAGGAATTAGGGGTCAAATTTGGACGCTCAAAGATGTTGCGTTTGATGGCTTTGTGGCTTCTTGGGATGGAAGCTGTTTCAAGTCAATGGTTTGTCGACTCGTTATAGGGATGAGATGAGCATCATCATGACAAGCACCTAAAGAAAAATATTAAACCCTAGAAATCAAATCTTAGAAGGAAAAGACAATGTTATAAGATATTTAAATTACGAAGATAAATAGCCATCATTTATGATTACCATCTACAATCAGGTTGACGACCAATAACTATGGATCGTTACCACTTCTGCAACGATCATCAATGTGGTTGTTGGTTACCAGTTTATGGTGCTAGTTGTTGGCCTCCGGTTGTTAATCCCAACCACTAGCCACTCATAGCAAGTTTTGAAACTTGAGCCCAATTGGTGATGATCGGTTACTAAGGGCTGGTGGCCAATCATAGAGATTAGTGAGAACTTTAGCAAACGAGATAAGGGATTGATGATTGACAATAATCGACGACCACTACCTATTACAGCAACTGATGGTCAGGATCGATACCAAGAACTAGTTATTGGATTTGACAACCAACAATGAACACCGTCGTCAAAGTGATCACTGATGATTATGATCCTCGATCTCAATTGATATGGTCACGAATCACTAGTGATTAGTAATTGGGTTTGGCAACCAAGGACCAGCAACCATCCTCAGTCTCGATCTTGATCGTTCGTCACTAATCCCATGCATTGGTCCCTAGCCGCTTGTTGCCAATCACGATTCTTAGCTAATCACCAATCACCAGTGCTGGTCACCAACCATAACCACCAATGATCGGGACTGATGATTAGCGATTGTGACCAAGGATCGAGATTAGCAACTAGTGGTTGGTGATCAAGGACCAAAACCAGCAACCAACGATCAACAACTAGGACCAATGACCCGCAACTATCCATCACTTTTGGTGACAAACTCCAATAAATACTTAAATTTAAGAACAACCCCAACAAAGTTTTGCATAAAAACACTTGAGAGAAAATATAATCAAACATAACAAAGTTGTTTGCAAAAGTAATTGTGAGTTAACAAAAACAAATATTCAATAAACAGCCTACTTTTATAAAAAACACTTTAGGTATGCTTTTCTCTGATTATTTTTACATTATTAAACAGCCTACTTCTAGAACAACTAAAGTTCTTCTTTCTAGTCAATTATAATGATTTCAAGTTAGAACAGAAGCCATCAATTATAAGATATCTGCGAGAGAATTGTTTAAAGAACACTCCAAACAACCTCACGTTTGGGTATCTAAAATATTGCCTAGTGGTAAGTGATTTAAATGGTTAATTGTAAGCAGCAAACTAGTCTACAAATACTTGAGTAGGATATGTTCAGCCTAATTCTTAATTCCAAGCCTCCTAATAGAGATAGGTATTGAGATGATAAATGAGAGAGTGACTAACCTTAACACATAGTGAACCCACGAAGCGAACGAAAACTCTCTCGTGACCCCAACGGCACGTACAATGGAGATAGGCATCCTGACAAGTATAAACTTTTGACAGTAACATATTATACCACATACAAAATACAAGTAGTTCATACAATACACAAACAGAAAGGAGTTTGTCCACAAATAACATAGAATGTAAATTTCCAACCTAACCACAGTCCTAATTTAAAGTTTAAACTAATCCTAATACACAATTAGTGGTCTACACTGAGATCCTAAGGGAAGCAACATTTGACTATCTCTTGGTTCATTTTCCTCTCTTTTTTTTTCCCTTTTTTTCCTTTGGTTTGGGGAGGGAGGGGAGGTTGTTGCAAATACCTACACCATGCGTGCCGTGTAAACACATCAGGGTCGGATTCGCTTGTTGCTGCAAGATGGACATTTATACTGCTTAATGTGCTCTGCCCTTGCCGGAGTGATCTTGACACACTTCCCATGGAACCATTTCTCACATATGTCACAGCAAATCCAGAACTCATCAGATGCATAATTCTCTCCGCAAGCTCCGCAAAGTGTTTCTCCATGTTCTTCTTCGTCTTCCTCTTCCAAGCCTTCCTCATCCTCGTCTTTCGATTGAACAGCTTTCGCACTTTTTATTTGAGGTTCGGAACTCCGCTGTATATTGCAAATATATGCCAAATAATATAATTAATAAGTTGCCTCCCACATGGATTGAAACACATACTAAGCAAAGAGAACCAGTAATCAAAGAATACTCTAGTATGATATGCAGGTCGACTGGTTTTCTACAGGCACCTCAGCCAAACCATTAGAGCAATTAAAAATCACCAGCAGTTTTGTGTCTCATTTTAAGCCGAATTGGCTAGTAAAAACTAAAAAACAGGAGAAAGCAGGATAAAAAAATTCTTTCAAACCTTTGGATTTGATTTAGATTTATTACTGCTATGATTTGAAACTGATGATTTATCCTTAACTTGTTTTTTGGCTGTCCCTGTCACCACTTCAAATATTGTTGGAAGATCATTTATCATATTAAATAGACGCTTCCTGCAACAAAAGCAACAGAAACTTGAATCCCCAGTCATGGAAACTTCATCAGGAACCAAACTATGACCAAGATAAAAATGAAAGAATACAAGAAAGTCAAGAGAAGACCAGCAACCCCGACCAACAAAATGACAGCCCAAAATGGAGCCAAAATGAAGACAACCATCTAACTCCAATACATTAAATTATCTTGGAAACTGATAGAACTTTAAATCCAAGTTAGGCGGCCATTATGATTTGAACACATTTCCTCACATTGATTATTTTTCACTGACACAAATGACTACGGCCAAACCATAGTTGATTAAAACCAAGCTTACATTGAAAAAATGAAAGAGTACAACAGTATCCATCTTACAAAGAATGTTGCAAGTCCTAAAAACGGTCAAGAGAGCAACTCCTTTGGAAAACCAAGCATGTATAGTAGGAAGATAAAGCCTATGACACCATGGCATGCCATAACACTGTGCAATCATTTTCTATAAAATGAGGACACGAGCATGCTTAATAAAATTTACAATTTTCAGAATGTAGGTTAAATGACAAGTTTAGTGCCTAAACTATCATGTTTGTGTCAATAAGCCTCTGAATTTTAAAAAAGAGTCTAATAGATCCCAAACTTTAAATTTTGAGTCTAATAGATTTCTGAACCTTTCAAATTATCTAATAGATCCTTGAACTTCTAATTTTGTGTCTAATTTATTACTAATATACTCAACACTTTTTAAAGTTAATAAATCTATTATATAGAAAATTGAACTCGTATCTAACAATGTCCAAACTGTCAATTTTGAGTCTAATAATTTCATAAATTTTTAGGTGTTTCAAATAGGTCAAGAACCTACAAACACAAACTTGAAAGTTTAAAAACCTTTTAGATACCCAAAAACTTATTAGACACAAAATTGAAAGTTTAGGAACTTATTAGTCACTTTTAATATTCATGGACTTATTAGACACCAACCTAAAGGTTAAAGGACTAAACTTATAACTTAAATTAAAATATATTTGAACATATCCTATATTTTAATGTTTTTATATAAAAAAAAATACATTGTATGGTCTTTTCATTTCGAAGATAATATAAATGTGATGAATTTTTTGTTTAAAAAGAGTCATGAAATGTACAATGTAGAAAGTTAATTTATTATAGATATTGCATTAAGGATGCAATGTCTTATAGCAAAAGAATCAAGAACCAACTAAACATGTTTCCAAATGACTCAACGTTGAATAGAAAAAGAGAAATAAAATCGACCATCATTAAATGCTTAAACACTTTAAAGAACGCATTGCGATCAAAATTTGTCCATATTTGCTTGTATGGTTGATTAGTTTCAAACAAAATGTTAGGCATCCAAACACTGAAATTATATGAAAACATCAAAGATATTGCAATATCTAAAGAAATTCAATATAGGTAATTCAAGATAGTTACACCCTCCCTCTTGAGATCTCTCCCTGGCCCTAATTCACTCGCCACAAAGTAATGCCTCATTCCCTCTATTTATAACCAAACTCCATACCCACCTCCCTATCTAATTACTAATATACCTATCCTAATAGAATTCCTAATAGAATAACAAATAAATAGCTTAACACTTAAAGGAAGTGCTCAAAATAATTGTCTCAAATATGTCCATCCAATGTGTTCAACAAGCGTTCATGTGTGTCATGTGTTAGACAAGTAACCAACGCATGTCCAATATATTCAACAAGTGTGAAACACATATTGAGCAATCACAAATGTATTTGGGCTTCCTTGTATAAAACATATAATATGAAAAAAAATTATAGTTTGAAATAAAACCTTATAAGAAAGAGATTGGCTAATACCAATTCAATCTAAAACAATAACCAAAATATAACACCCCACAAAAAAATCCCATTATAGAACTTTAGATCATGAAAAGCATGTATGGGGTTGCAAAACCTATCATCATCATGAAAAGAAATAAGAAATTCAAGGGCAGAGAAAAACAGTTTCCCAAGAGCACGTGAAATGAAAAAAAGTTGGACAAAATATTAAATTAAGAACTGCTCAAAGACAATAAAAGACAGAGAGAGAGAGAGAGAGAGAGAGAGAGAGAGAGAGAGTTGAAGCTCATGCCCAGCCCTTCGCTACAACCTACGACCAGTTTAAAATATACTATGCATGAATCATTAACATAGAATAACGAAGGCAGATCAGTGAACACATACCTATCTGTCTTATCAAATCCAAACCTAGCTCCAAAATAAAATGCCACAGAAAGCAGCCAAACATCACTATGCACTGCAACCAAGGATAGCCAATCCTTTTCTTGCATCCCGTCTCTAGCAAAGTTTATACCCAGTGCAGGTTCTGGAAGCTCTGGAGGCACCTCTTCCGCAGGTAAATTGACTTCCCACTGCTCACTAGGAAATCCGTAAAGGCAGAGATTTTCTTTCTCTGGCAAATGTGAAGTTTAAGAAAATTTGGGTTATGATTCGATGTACCAAACAATTCCTTATTTGGGTTATAATTCAAGAAAAAAAAAAGTGTTAAAAGTAGTATGTTTAGTTCTTTCTTAACTGTTATAGATTATGTATCAAACGATTTTTTACACGCTGAAATTAGAATATCTGAACAGTATAAGCCTACACATTTTAAAATTATACGACAAGATTACTACAGATTTCATCCTTTAAGGCCAGATAATTAAATCCTTGCATTACCATATAAAACATGTGCTCTGTTTTACGTTATAAAGTATGAAGGCTTCACACACATGCACTGCTTACAGACAAGGCGGTGAAATAAAAGGACAAAAGAAACACGGAAATTAATGACAAACTGGCTTAGGAAAATAAGCCGCGGAAACCTCTCAACTAAACCAGACATCAAAATCGATAAATTTTATTAGCTATTTATATTTGCAGTCATCGAAATTTAGTTCCTAGTAGACACCACTTTTCCTACGCATTACTTCTAGCATCCTCTCCGACAATGCATACTAATATTCAAAAACGTAAAAAAGCAGCGAAAAATCAAACCAGGATCACATTGCTGGTAGAACTCTTCAACATCTGCAACCAAAAGAGCAGAAATAGTAAAAATCTGACGAAATTAACGGAAAAACAAAAATTATTATAACACGAAGCAGAATGAAGCAGAGAAAACCAAAAGGACAACAGGTGAAAACAATTTAAAAGGGAGAATGAAATAAAAGTTCACCAGTAGTTAGAGCCTTAATCAAACCAGCTCTACGGCCCTTGAAATCCCTAAACACCTCTTCCACGGTACGTGGATTGTACGGAGCACCCCCGTCCATAGCCTACCAACTCTTACCTTGAGAAACTAGAACTTGAAGCTCCAGAAGTGCGATAAAGAGAGCAGAGAAGTGTGTAGATAAGGATAAGAATTGAGAAAGAGAAAAGAAGAAAATGAATTACAGATCGAGAGGCATGGCGAGGAAGAAGAGAGAAGGGAAAGCAAAAGGAGGGAAAAAACAGCCAAATATTTGACCTCTGAGCGACGACACACAGTGGAAGGAAGAGAGAGAAAGAGAAATGAACGCGGACTTGAACCGGAGGAGAAAGGTAAAATTAAATGAAATGGATAAAAAGAGGGAAAGTCCGGAACGGAGGATTTTGGGCCGGGAAACAGAAATAAAAAAAGGGGGAAATGGAGCCCTTAAAACTAACCACGCGGTAAAACCTGATTGGACAACATGGATTAGGGGAGGTCCCGCAAAATTTAATCCGGAGATGAATTCTGTGAGTCAAAGCTGAGGTGGCAGCTGGTCCCCACCCCATTTGCTTTTTCTTTTTCTTTTTCTTTTTTTAAATTGGGCCACGTCCTCCCAATAATTTTTTCTCAATAAAATACTTTTGATAAAACAGTGATATTTGATAATGATCCGAAGAAATTTTTAATCTGCCATTTAATAATCATTTATTAAAAAAATATATACTTTTGACTAATAATTTTAATATTCATTTGAAAAATGTAAAAATCACATTAAGTAAAAAAAATTAATTAATTTTTTAAAACATAAAATTCTTACCAAATGAGACCAAGTTAATTAGTAATTTTTTACTTTACTTTATTTTGCCTAAAATTTTACTGCAGTTATTTATCTCTAATTTTTTTTACTCTAGTTTTTATATCTTTAATTTTGGTTAGCGATAATTAACTATTTGTGCTTAATAAAAAAAATATATTAAAAATATTTAATTTGATGATTTATATGTAAATATTGACCTTATAAATTATTTTAACCTTTTAAATTACATAACCAACGATTTTAATATTTTATATAGTCGCATTAAAATAAATATTACATCATCATTTAAATATTTGATATACTTCATCTATTATTATATTATTATATGCGTGTTAAATTAAATTTTAAATTTAGTTAGTCCTAAATTTACAAAATTACAAGTTTAGATGGGCCGTTAAGCCCATTGGAAACTTATTGGGCTGGGCTAAAAGCCATAGCATTGCTTTACCCTCTTCTAAATCCTTGTGGGCTCGGCTACTTTGGAGCCCAAAAGTGAAGCATTTTGAACTACGGATTTTTAAATATTTATAATACATAAATTATTTATTTGTATTTACAACTTTTAAATTTTCTCATATTTAAAATTTTTAAAATCTTTGTGCAAATCTCCCATCATTGTTATCAAATTTAATCCAAATATATTAGATTAATGATTTGTAAATATGACGTGTCTATTTTGTCAATATTATAATAGAGGTAAATTTTAAATATTAAATTTGAGATTTCAAAATACAATGTGTGTATTAGTTTAATTTTTTAAATTAAAAAATAAACGAGAAAAATGTCAAATTACAAGTCTATAAACTTTAAAAAATAAATTTTAAATTTAATGTCTTTCAAGGTTAAAAATGTTTAAATTTTATGTCAAAAAATTAATTTTTTAATTTTTTGTTTAATAAAATTTTAATTTATTTCAGCTTCTTTTTTTTTTTTTAATTTACAGATTTATTAGACATATGAGATTTGTCTAATAATTTTATAATTAATAATAGAGGCATATATATAATTTAATTTTATGTAAAATAATTAAATTATTGATTAAGAATGAAACACAACAATAGTATTTAAATTAATTTTTTATTAAATTAAATTGGCATCAATTTAAGCGGAAAAAAAACCGCCCCGACAAATTATAAGATAACTATGGCAGGTGAGTTGATATGAGATGGGTGATTGGGTAATGGGCGCAACCGACTCCGACATCTCCACTACAAAGACGGCGACATGAAAACGACGCTGTTTTTGTAACTGTCATCCCTTTTGCTTTCTCAGGGCGAAATTAAACCCCCTGAACCCATTCCTTACACATACATACATGCACACCAACTGTTCGATGAAATGTGTAGCCGACTTGAAGTGAAGAAAACGACCGAACCCATAGGCCACGCCCACATTAATGAGTGATGGGTCGGCTTAATTAACCAAAAATCAAGATATACGTTTTGTTAACAATGAGAAAGAAGGAACGAAAGCGATTGATGTAAATGAAGGGGGGGTGAGTGTGCTGCTGATGCTGCTGATGCTGCTCCCTAATGGCATGGTGTGGAAGGAAAATAGAGGTAGGGAAGGGGCACGTGAAGGAGACAGAGACGTGAAGACAAGGCAATGGGGTGAGCCACATGTTGCAGCACGTGGAGGCAAGGCTCTGTGAGGCGCCATGGGAGTGAAGGGTTTTAAAGTGGATGCGAAAAGACAGAAACGTATTTGGGGGAGTGGGGGTGGGGGGCCCGTGGCGGAGCCTCAAACACCACGCCAGCGCCAACGCCAGCGCCAACGCCAGCGCCAATGCCAATGCCAATGCCAATGCCAATGATTTAAAGATGACTTGGTTTGTGGAGGAAGGCTTCTTTTTTCTTCTTTGTGTTTGTTGTTTGTGATCAGAGGTTTCAAATCCCGATGTGGAAGGCGGTTGGGTCTCCATTGGGATCTGAATTTGGCGATTGGCCCACCGCTTTTGCAGAGGATTTTGGGTCATTTTTAATAGGCCAATCGGGCTCGTTTTTTCTTGAATCTGAATTGTGGTAAAACCCAAGCATCTGCTGCTCATCCGATGCTTTAAGGTGGTTCAGAAAAAAAGGGCCAATTTCAAATTGTTTATGCTAAAAAATGACCACAATAAATAAAGATATATATATATATATATATATATATATACACATATACGGAGAGCGTTTGAGATACCAAATTGGTTGAAGAGGAACTAATTCGGTGGCCCCCAAGGAAGTGAATGGTGAGATCTGAGTGAATTGTAAGATCTCTTGTAGATTGGAAGGGAGAACGAAACATTGTGTGAAAAGCTCTCCCTATGTGAGACTAACGGATACACATAACGAGCCAAAGTGGACAATATCTCCTAGTTGTGAGCTTGAGTTGTTACGACACCGGGCGGCATGTTAACGAGGACGCTAGGCCCCCGAAAGTGGTGAATTGTGAGATCCCATATTGATTGGAGAGGGAACAAACTTGCTAGTCCCAAGGAAGGGATGTATTGTGCCTAAGGAGTGGGTGAATTGTGCAATCTCACAAACATTTAAGGGGTAGAAATCTTCCCTTAGAAGACTCAATTTAAATTTGTGAGACTATGTAACGGACCATTGCGAGCAATATCTATTAGCAGTGGGCTTGGGCTATTACGACACTAGACGACATGCTAGTGAGAACGCTAGGCTTCCGAGGGAGATGGATTGTGAGATACCACAGTTGGATAAGGAAACGAAACATTTCTTATAAATGATGTGTAACATCTCCAAATGACTAACGATATATAACAAGCTAAAGCTGACAACATTTGGTAGCTTTGAGCGTTACATATTACTATTTTTTGCTCTAAATTATATTAAAAGAAAAATACTACAGGCTTATTTTAACTACAAACATTGAATGTTTGACCGTAGGTATTGACTAACTATAGAATCTCACTCCTTTTTATGAACATGTTTTATATTATAATATACCATGTTTTTCATGAACTTATAAAATATTAAAAAATTATTTCTCACAACTATTTAAAAAATTAAATTATCACGAACAAACATTCCTTAAAAATTTATTATATTTTGCTTTCATCAAATAATAAAATAATCAATTTTGTAAATATTTTTATACAAAATATAAAAATTTATGTGTATTTCACTAATTTAGCAAAAAAAAAAAAAATAATAATAATCTAAAATAATTTTTCACCTATTGTTTGGAAGAAAAACAAACAGGTAAATAAATGAGTGCCGGGTCGTTAGCCAATCCCGAGGAGCGGGCGCCATTACCAAAGCCTTCCTGGCTCGTTTCTCTTTGGCTCTGCTTTCTTGTCTCGCTGGATCCAATCTCTGGTCCCTCTCACAAACCCCAACTATGTTTTGTCTTTTTTTTACATTTTTCATCTCTATTTTACTTTACCTGCAATCGAATTCACTCCCTTAGTAAAAATATATTTACCGTCTTTCCAAGTAACATGAAGAAAATTTAGACCAGACATCTCTCGTCCATATATTAATAGTAAAAAAAATTAAAGATGAAAGACGTTAATATTATTTTTAAAATTTTATAAGTATTTTTTAAACCGTAAATATATTTTCTAGATCTTTTTTTAATTAATTTAACTCGAATAAAAATTATAATTATGTCGGATAATTAAAACTAATAATTTTAAAGGTTATTTTGACCGTGAGTTGACTAAGTACACAGTGATTTGGCAGTTATTAAATATTTTTGTAAGCTTATGTGACATTTCTATCTCTTTTTTGGATTACCACTTTTCGTGGTTCAGGAAGAAAATTAAAACAAATTTATGTTCTTACAAAATCGTACAAATAAATAAATAAATGTATTTTTCTTTTCCTTCTTTCCTTCTCTACCATCAAAGTCATGTTCTCGTAGGTCAAAAAAACAAAATGTACTTACTGGTTGTTGTCTCGAGCATTAAAATTTCTAAAATTTTCATAAATTTATTTAGATTTTAATCTCTCACATCCGCTAATTTAAGGAATGATCATGTGTTTGTAAACAAAGTCATGAAAGCTTATGCTCAAAGTGGACAATATCATACCACTGTGAAGAATCGTGTTCATTTAACATGGTATCAGAGAGTCATGCCCTAAACTTAGTTGTGACAATAGATTGGTAAATCCTCAAATGTCGAACAAATAACTCCAAAAGAAAAGGAGTCGAGCCTCGATTAAGGGGAGGTGTTGGATGATGAAAGTCTCACATCGACGAAAATTCTATCCTAAACATATATAAATAATAATATTATGGTAATTATTTTGGGTGTATTATTGAAACTGAACCCTACAATTAATAAAATGGATTTATTGAGACAATGATAAAGTAATCTATAAATTTGTCTCATTAAGTAGTGGAAAATGGTAGAGATTTTTTTATTTATTTAATATTTTATTTTATTTTATTTGGAAGCTTTGTCACGTCAATTATTTATTTTGAATAAGTTAAAATTATTTCATTCAACAAATTTGAAAGGGAAGAGACAAGGTGGACCACCAAAACGACGTCATTTTACCGTTTCTTTTTCCTCCAAATCAGCAA